AATGGAATTAAAAATCTTTTTCGTTAGTCGCCGCTTATTTCACTCGCGACTAGACGCTCCGCTAAATTGGAAGGGTTGGAAGAAAATTAGTGGATGCAGTTAGAGAAGCTAAAACGCGAACGAGGAAACTGCGGAATCTTAGCGAGAAAGATAAAAAGTATCGCAATTAACTAACGTAGAAATTGGATTTTTTGTATTAGTCGGTTCTTTATCGTTTCTATTTATTTGTCCAATTATGGTTTCTCCAAATATATTTCCGTCCAACGTTAAATAGGATAAGAGGCTCATCCGAGATACGAATCTTCCTTTCCAAATGTTTCAGGCACAACGTTACCCCGCGATAAAACTGCTGATTAATAAATTATATTGGAATAAATTTACATAATCGTCACCGGGCTGCCGTATTTAACACCATAAAATTCAACCACCGTATCTTGCGCTAGCGATATGGAAAGTTCGGCGTGCATCCTTTGTTCGCATAACGTACAAAATATCGTTGCCGTGTTCCGTTCATTTTTCACAAGCGCGGCCTTCGTTGCAATTCGGTTGTGGTTCGTTGCAATTCACCATGGCCGGTAACTTGATTTCGCGAAACAGTGATGGTTCTGCAGTTTAACTAAATTAAACGCGGGGTTTCTGCCCCGTTGTAAATATAACAGGTGCAAGGGCGCGAGGTCCAGCAAATCCCAACCGCAGCTGAATTTCGCCGTGAACGGCGCCAGCAACCCGACCGGAAGTACGGCCGGGACGAAACTGAGGTCGAAAGTGGATCAGGCTACACAAACGCCGGAGAACATAGCCCGTGAAACAAGGAACTTCACTTTGAGGGCCCTCAAGTTGCAGTTGAACGTCACTCCCAACACCCTAAATCTCAGGTGAATTTCTTTCTCCACTCGATCTTTGCGTCAAAAAATATCCGAGATATCGCGAAACGAGATATGGACGGGCAAAGATCTCGAGATTTTGCTTCTGCGTTTGAAAGGGCGCGTTCACTTTGTCACTCGTTCGAAAGAAATGCCTGAAAGACGATCTTCAGGAACCGACGTTTCAAAGACTTGCTGTTCTTCTATATATCTTCTCATTTATCTCGCAGCCAATACTACTTTTTAATTTCGTAAAATGTTCTTCGCGATACTTCTAAGCAAATGTTTCCACCCTTACGACCGTCGTCGGTGTATCGAATACCGGTTGATAACGATAACGTGAATTCCTTCCCACAACGACGTGTAGGACGCGTCGTAAATGGGATTAGACAGCCGCTGCACAACGCATACGGTGCGTCATCGATTTCGGATGAATCTAGTTTGCCATCGAAAGTTTCTCAATTTGCCGCCGCTTCGTTTGCGTTCCTTTATGTCTGAGATAAAATCGACAAGATCGAAAGTAGAGTAGAACGAAGCGTGACCAATTATTCAGAATGTTTATCGCGATTCGCGACCCGTTGACAAAGTTTAATCGCGATATTGACGCCGCACGGCCAATCGCAGAGATTGTTCGTCTCTGAAAATCCTTGACACAGGATTGCGTGTGAAACGAATCACACCCGTGAGAGACACGAGGCAGGATTAGCCCTCGAGCGTGGAAATCCATTTGCATGTACAAATGATGGTCGATTCGAACTTGGACCGTTTCGTGAATTTCGAGTTCAACGAACATACATCGGAATCCTTGGGTTTCTAGGTTCCTCGCGGGACGAACGAAGAGAAGATCGTTAGCTGCGAACGCCGTGGCAACGGAACAAAAAGCCAGCAAAGTGTTGGGTCTGGTTTTCTTCACGTTCGTGCTGTGCTGGGCGCCATTCTTCCTTTTGAATATTTTCTTCGCGGCCTGCCCCGAGTGCTCGGTGCCGGTACACGTGGTCGACACGTGTCTATGGCTCGGTTACGTGTCCTCCACCATCAATCCGGTGATCTACACGATATTCAATAGAACGTTCAGGGCTGCGTTCATCAGATTGCTGAAGTGCAAGTGTTCCAGGTGAGCGTAGAAGTATTTTACGACTATTTTACCTGATTGAAGTTGAGCGTTATTAACTTATTAGCTTGAGGAAAAGAAGACTCTACGAAGAACAGGAATATTATTTTTTCAAATTACATATTCGTAACATCTTGACAAATCGAGTTAGACGGTCTACTTTCTCTGGCATTTCCGAATAAATTTTCTATACTCGACACCCGAAAACTTTGCTTCGTCTCTTGAAACTTGATTTCTTCCGCTGTCTCTCCGTGTCGGTCTTCTCGAAGCTACCTCTACGCCAGGTGCAAAAAGAAAAGAGAAAAGAAGAAATAGAAAAAAAGAGCCGTCTTTGTTTCTTCGGAAAACTTCTTCTACGAGAAGCAAACAAATCTACGCGGAAATAACGACAAAGAACGCAGAAACGAGGAATATGGGAACGGGACATCGAGCCATTAAATCCCATAGCACGTTCTACCGTTCCGATTGTAGGGAGAAAAGGCTCGAGGGACACTTTGCTAGCGTTCCACGACCTTATTACTCTCGTTTAATGCATGTACCTGCAGGGAGAAACGTTTTCTAGGTCAGCAAGGCCGGCGAGATATCGTTCGGTGACGGAAGGTGGACGCAACGCGATGAGCCTGTGCACCCCGACCGCGCTTCCATTGGTCATTAGTCTTCAGGGTACGCCGTTGTTGACGCCGACACCGAATCCGACGGCCACACCGGCCTCAGGAAGCTCCTACGTGACGATGATGCATCGCACGCCAACGTCCCTTTACCGTGACAGTTTCCATCAGCATGAACACGATCAGAATTGTTGAGGAGAACCAAGTGTTCCAGGAAATGCGATCGATGCCACGTGGAACACTCGAACGCCTATGATTCTTTTATCGATGGATTTCTTCTTGGTCCGTGCTTTATAGAACAATTTCGTCAGGATTTGATCGACAAATTTTGGCGCGATCCTAACTGTCGGATAAATTTCTTCGGTAAAACTATCGTCAATTTGAAACAATTTTCTAATTCGATACCTGCAGAAGGTACAACAGAGTATCGTAGAAAGAATAGCAAAATGTTTTGTCTTTAAACGAGGAAACTCGGAGCAAGCAATAGCGAGATGAAATTAAAGGATAATACAAGAAAGAAATGCAAAAGATTCCCGTCAACTTAAATAGCGGTAATCCGTTTTGTTTGTTTGATCGTGATACAAGCGTTTGAGTGTTTTATCGTAGTCTCGAATAAAAGCGTAGCCTCGAAATGAGGGAAACGTTTCAATTGACGTCGACATGAAATGCTCGACGTTGACGTTGATACCTGCCGCACAATTTTCCCTCGTGTCTTTTCATGCTCAATCGTGGTAAAGAAGTCTAGCAGAGAATCGGGTAATCTTCAAGTACGAAGAATACATATATGTGAATGTGATAAAACATTTTATTATTATTTTCTCCGAACGATGCGAACAGATTGGCCCGGGTGTTTCGTCGAGTCAAAAATTATCGTTAAATCGATACGTGTGTTGTAGCGAAGTATGGTTCGTTTAACGAGTTACAAGTAAAACTGTATGGTATAAAGAAGAATAGCGGCGTATCGATTCCATTGTAATGGTAATGATCGTATGAATACTTTATTCACTGATCCTGCGCTATTTTCTCTTCAATACACGCCGGTTAAAATACACTATCGTCTGTGATATCGATGGAAGGTTTCTTTACTCTGCTGTGCACGTAGAGACTTGTTCGTAGAAATGTTATTTAATTAACGAAATAATAGCCACAGAGGCAACACGATTAAAAATAGCGTCCTCTTCGTCTGAAAATCTCGTCGATTTAAAAATTCACCGTCTTCGAAATCTTCCATTTAGTGAAACTTAAAACAGCTTTCACGGAAGGATCAATGAAATGTTCATAGTTCTCAGCCAGGAAAGAAGTAACAGTATGAAACAGAGATGCAAAAAGTCATTCCTATTTTACTTTCATTTGTACTAACTTTTATTTGACAAATAAAAAGTATCCATTACAAATAATTGTAAACTGTATATCTTATATAATACACACATCGTGATACGAGCGAATCTTTCTCACTTTTTCATATTTTCATCTTAATTGTGTACACGCATCACTCTCTCTCTCTCTCTGTCTCAACTTTGTTCAAGCCTTCAATGATCACAATTACAAACTTTCTTCCATCGTGTCTTCCCTCGGCATTCGCACACACAGGCACGCACGCTAAAACACACCGATTTCTCTCCCTCTCATGCATTTCGTGTGTGTATATGTATTTTTATGTATGTCTCTCTGTTTTGTTGCCTGTTTCTCGTGTAATCCTTATTACGTAAGTGGGTCTCGGGGCAATGAAAAAATATCCTGCTTCCCTTCCAAAACTGCCGTCGACTCGCTCGTCGAAGTTCGAAACGTGTTAACGATAAGAATGGAAACTGCCACGTCATGTGGCAGAAACTCCGAATGTTTCAAAGCAAAATGCACGAAATACCTCCTTGAGATTCCACGAAAACCGCAATTCAATCCCTAAAGCGGTAAATATCGATAGCTTGGCGATACGAGAGAAAAATGGATTGAATATAAATCGGAATCAACGGCAACAAATTCGCTGTTGGCAAACGGAAGAGAAGCCTGTAACTAGAACATTTCTCATTTTCCCCGACAACCATGAAAAAGACGGTACAATCGTGAGTCGAACGAAAATGCACGCGCTTCTCTGTTCGAGATCACGCGGACGTAAGAGGTTTTTGTTTCTTATTTTCTTTTTGATCTTTCGGATAAACACGACGTTGTGGGAGTGAACCGTCAGAAAGGGGGTGTGGGGGTATCGGTATTTCTTCTTAGTCGTAAGAGAAAAGGGCGGCTCCGTGGCGACCGGGGTCGGTCGTTTGATCGAGATGCGTTAAAAAAAATGCCCTTCGTAGCGTCATCGAAACCCTTTCTCGGGGTCGTGATTCCGTTTTCTTTCTTCTATTTCACTTTCGTCACGTGGCTAAGTATACTATCAGGGAATGAAGGAGAGAGAGGGTAAAGGTGCTGAGAGTGTCTCTTCGAGGAAGGGAAAGAGGACGAGTTAGTTCCAGCTTGAGGGCGGCTTTTCGACTTCCTGTTCTTCTCTTTTTTTTTTTTTTCTATCACTTCCTTTTCATTTGCAATAAATCTGTCTTTAAAATTCGCATGCTTGTTCAAGTTGCAACCCCTAAAAGAGAACATCCGTGTGTCCGGTCGCTGATACAACGTATAAAAGTCTCAGAGGAAACAAGATGAAATCGTAGGGTTCGACGAAGTGTAAAAAGGGTTGACATTGGAGTTCGTGGTAATTTACAAGGAAATTTCGTTACTTTGTTTTCTGCAAGACTGTGCATCGGACGCGATATACGGAGAGATCATCATGGTGTTCCCTTTTGGAAGTACGAACCTGACATTCGATGTCTATCAAACCTTTTCATTTAAACATTAGATTCACATACACGTAATAAAACTTCTTCCTCGCTCCGTTTGCTCTTCGTCTTTTCACCGACGATCGTAAGATACAAAGCGATCTTATACGTCGCCAAGAGTGACGTATATGTGATATAATATACATATTATAATGTATTCGTCATTCTTATAGTTTAACGTTCTCCAAGTTGCCTCTTGTTTCCGTTTAAACGCGTTATCTATTACTTTCTAAGACGCAGCATCGTCGGACTTCGTTGCAAGTTTTCTTTTGATTCAACATCTCGTATTATATAGCGATATTTCCCAATGGAGTTGCATCTCTAATAGTTTAGCTTATCACTCTCTATTATTAGAATTCTTACACGCTTAACAGTTATACCGCAGGGAGAAGATCACGAACATTCGTTACGCGCTCGATCTGTGAAATTGATGCAAAATTACTCTGCTTAATCTTACGATTTTACGATCTTACGATAGTTAATAATAATTAAGTATAATCGTAATGCAGCAGTAGACAGATGGCCGTGTGACGATTGAGGAAAGGGACATGTTATCGTTAACGACTTCTTTTCTCTTATTTTAATTTCTCTTTTTTTCTTTTTATGATGTATTTATATACAAAAAGTATCCGCGTATTATCGACTTCGGTTCTCTCACCGTTGTCCTTTTTCTTTTTTTCCATTTAATTCGCTCGGCAACCTCTCCCTTCCTTCGATCTTACCGATACATTTTCTGAATGTATGATTTGAATTTTAACTTGTAAAATCTTTGATCTTTCGCTGTCAGAAACCACGATTCGTCTTGCAAAATTCGTGATATTTTTTTCAAAGAAAAATCAGAAAGAAGCAAGAAAAATTTCTTTCGAGGTTTCTCGAAGTTTATACGAGGTTTCTGTAGTAAAACAGCGAAGAACAAAGGGTCCGGAGAACATGTGCGCTTCGATAGTGACTTCTGCGGGTATTAAAATAAAAAAGAAAATAAAACGAGTGGGGAAATAAAAGAAGAAAAAATGATCGTATCAAAGCTTGTCCAGAGTCGTGGAAAAAAAACACACGATATAAAATGATTGGAAAAAAATAACTAAAAAAAAAAGAGAGAGAAAAAATGCGTAAGATCGAGAATGATCTCAGGCGTTGAAACAGTGCTGTTCTTTGGCCTTTTTTTGCACGAGGAGGCTGTTCCTCAAACGCCAATTCCAAGATTCTAAACTCGTGAAAGTAGGCATATGAGCGTTTCTCACTCGTAAATCCGTATAAGCAAATGGAAAAGTCCACAAAATAGACTGTCTCTCCTTGCGTTTTGCTTTGATCGATTAGTATTTATTGAGAACATTTTTTTCTGATTTTATTTTCTCCTTTTCTTTTTTTTCTGATTTTATTTTCTCTTTTCTCTTCTTTCTGGATTCTCGCTCTTTCTTTCCTCACAAATGCACAAGGAGAAACGCCAATAATATGTGATATTATTTTGTTTCTTTTTTTTTTTTTCTTTCGATGAAAAAAGGCTTCAAGAGTTCTCGTTCTGTAATTATAATCTTCACTTTTCACGCGAAGAAGTATCCCTAAAAAAATTATAAACGCATCTTTGGCTCCCCCCGAATGCTTCCTTTTACACCATGTTCTAATAATGGTCTGCATTCTCGTGCACGCTGAAACAAAAGATCACCAGAAACATCTCGTTAGAAACAGGTAGCTAATATTCGTACGTTCGATTGAATTAATGTATCTCATACATACGATGTAACTAATTTAAAATGGTTAGTCGATGATATGCACATATATGTATCATTCTCCTTATTTTAGTTACTGAATGACCGTAAAGTTTTCGGGTTATCTCTCCTTATTATCTATTCCACAGTATCTCTCACTTTTCGTACCGAAAGAAAAAAGGACGATCAAATACATTTATTTTTATTTACCATTCATCAAACGATACATTTAACCTCGCTCATCTTATTTTCGTCATAGTTAGATTCGATATTTCGTCGTTAAGTTTATTTAAAGATGAAACACACTTTTTGTAATATCTACACGTGACAAGCTTGGGAAAAAATGTTACGATTAGATTACGGTAACGCGAGAATTCGTCGGCGCGCACGACGGAGGCCGCAGCGGGATTTGATGTTAGTTCCAGAAAAGCAGGAGATTCTCGGGAAGAGAAGCCGACGATCGCGAGCGCCTTTGTAGGATGATTAGTGATTCTTTGTTATATCGAAAGTAGAACAACAAAATCACTAGTCTTCCATGCAACAGCGCTCGATTTCCCCTTTCTTTAACTCGTTGAGCTTTAAGTGGTAGTAGTAGCAGTAGGCAGACGTGTTCTCCAATTCTCCGTGTCACTGTCCACCTTCGATTTCCTTCACCTTCGCGACGATTACTTTTTCCCAGTTTTGCTCAGTTTTCTCACGATTTCTCCTCGTTTTGGTTAGTCGGGACGTTTGGTTAGTTCCTCGTGCGGGACGAAGTGATACGATGCGATTAGAAGCGAATTTAGTTTCTTCCATTTCGGTGGCGTTTGCTCGTCGGAAAGTGGCTCCTGGACGCACGATCGCTTCGCGGTGATAAGCCAAGTATGTTAATGCGTAGTCGCAACGTGAACACGTGAAGAGGCTTGTTATCGTTTCGAAACCACTTTGCGTGTAGTTGCGCAATATCTGGCAGGAGTTTCGATCGCGATTTATGAACATGACCGAGCAAATTTTCTTCGTACCCCTTAACGAGCTTTTCCAAATTTTTTTATATTAAAGAAATATAAACGTTATTTATATATTTTTTTTCCACACCAACGCAAGATTTACAATCTTTGACAGTACTTTTTATTTGGAGCGAAGTGACGCGTTAAGGGGTTAGCAAAAGAGAATCGCGTTTCACTGTGGAAAAGTGGCGAAATCGATACTCATGATAGATATGGAACGCGTGTTTGCGCATTATAAGCTATCCATTGCGGCGAGATAGAGGCGTGTTTATACAGAAGCTCCCTACCCATTTTGCGAAGGCTTGGAACGCGCGCGTTTTTGCGCCGCAGATTCGTTCGAAAGTTACTTTACAAGCGGATTATTACATACTTCGCCAAGAAACAAATACGTAGAATTAATGGAAACTCGTTACAAACAATGGTTCGATTATGCTGAATCATAGACGCACTATAATGCACCACGCAACGTACAGGAAATGTTAATTAATTGTTAATCGACGTCAAGATACATGTTAAGATGCTTGAAGAGTTACATAATAGATGTACGCAAATAGAGCAAAGGTATAGGTTTAAAATAAAAAAAAAAGAAGACAATAAAGATAATTACCTCTGCTGAAGCAGGTACTGAGCCATTTGTATCTGACTGGGTAATCCGGTTATAGTGATAATGCGATCGTTACTGCCAGATAACGGTTCGTCTATAGTAATTCCAGCGCCGCTATCCGATCTGACTTTTCGAATTCTGGCGCCTCCCTTGCCGATAATGGCCCCAGCGAGCTATTAACAGAAAGAATATTGAAAATTACCCGTCATCCGTCAATTTAACGGGCCATCAATGTGCAATTCTATTCTTTTTAATTCTACTTACGTCCTTAGGAATGGTGACTTGAGTGGTGGTCTTGTTTCCACCCATGTTGCCCTGATTTCCTTGATTGTTGCCACCCATGGGTGGGCCGCTCATTCCCGAGTTAGCGCCGCCACCCAAACCGTTTGGCGCGCCTCCTTGCATACCCCATCCATCACCTGTGTGAAACACAACGATCGTACGATGATAGATATCCTCTAAGCCGGAGCAAACGGTGCCGCTTGACACTCCGCCATTCACCCCATTTGTTCCAAACTTCTAGCCGAAGATTCACGAGCGGATTAAATTTAACCGCGGTCAAAATTACGAACGGTTCTTTACCAATGGCCATTTGTAACGCAATTTCAGACCATTCCGTACAACAATGTCGGCCAAATGCAACTTAATGCGCTGACCGTCACGCGAGTTTTATGTTTCGTCCTTGGGGCGCAGAAATAGATTGAAAGGTATCGATATTGCGCGTTACGACACTTCGCTTATCGTAATAATGCCGATTAGCGATAACCACCGGTGACCCCCAGCAACGTGCGGTGCAGTCAAACCACAAAGTACAAACTTCCCTCTTTATCAAACTCTCTAGAAAGACAATTCGCAACATTTAGAGTTCATCCTACGATGCAACTTCTCTTACCATTGTAATTTCCACTAGCGTATGGCGGCGGGCCACCCCTATTGCCTCCGTAGCCACCTCGCCCGCCTTCGTATCCGCCACCTCCACCGCCTCCTCCGCGAGAATTACCTCCGTAGCCACGATCCGGTGGCCCGCCGGACATTCCACC